TCTGCCTGCCTGTCCTCCTTGGGACAGCTTGCTGTACATCCTTGCATGGGTCACATAGTTTTAACACAGTCCTTGTTTCCTCAACTAGAGAAACTGCGGCTTGGTGAGGCTGAGGCAGAATTATCTTCTGACCTCATGTTAGAGTATGGTCACTCAGACCTCATTGCCCACAGCAGGCTGAGCCCATGGAGGGAAGGGACAGGACCCACGTATCATCCATGCCCTCTTAGCAGTGAGTACAGCTTCCTTGCCAGCTTGGATGTGCTCTCAAACCAATGGCACCAATCCTTCCTTGATGGCTGGGTGGCACCCTATCTTCACTCACACCCAGCCTTCTGGGATGCCATTGGCTACCAAGTGTCAGGTGTGGTATGTGGGGGGAGCAAAGGGGGACACAGCCTGCAGTAGGTGAGTGGCTCCATCGGTCAGCACCAGCAGCCACATACCAGGAGTCTGGAAGGAACAGGCAGGTAAGCTCACCCCAGGGCCAGCTTGCAGAGGGAGTGGGGCCAGAGAAGAGCTCAGCTCTTCTGTGGGGCAGGTAGGAAGGACAAGCAGGAGCTTTGTTCTATCTTGTTCTATCCACACTTGCACCTCGTGCTCTCTTTTCCTCAGCTCTATCAGGGATGGAGCCCCTCTTTCCTGTAGCATTAGAAAAGCATGTCTACCGTGGGCAAGGGAAGGGGCTACCCATTGTTTGGGAGGATCTGGGTGAAGGGCAGTCCAAACTGTGAGCCTCAGACTTAGGGATTACATCTGCCAGAAAGTCAGGCAGGGCTCAGAGGCTGGGTATGAGGGGAAGCAGAGAGAAGAAGCCAGCTCCTCATAGCTGTGTCCATGTCCTGCTCTCTTGGGAATGCCAGGTGTCCTTGCTGAGGGGATGAGAGGTGCTATGCTATTTCCTGCCTTCTTGTAGTAACCTTTCTGCACCTTCTTATCATTGTGGTTATACCCACACATCACTGGAAGCTGGCACAGAGAGTTTGGAGACAAATAGAGTTAGGACCCCAAGGTCTGGGTGCCAGCCCTCGTCTTGCCCTGGGTGCTTTCCATATTAGGGGTGAGAAGTATGTTTAGTTCAGGCTGTTTCTATGAACACCTCAGCTAGCAAGAGACTCTAGGGTCTCCACTGCCCTGGGATTAAATGTCTGGTTTTTGCTTCTCAGAATTTGGCATAGAATAATGTCCAGGGTCATGCAGTCCAATTCCACCCCGCCCCCCAAAAAACCACCAATAAAGAGGGGTGTTTAAGACCTGGACACCTGCACATGCAAATCCTATTTGCATGCCTTCCCTCTTGGTGGCCACATTTGCCTGGTCCTTGGCACATGCCCAGATGCTCCTCCACACCAGCCTGGTGGGGAGAGCAAGTGCTTGCAGTTCTTGAGAGTTGCATCTACCTCCCATGGCATCCAGGGGTCCAGACCACCCATGCAGTCTACCCTGAAGTAAGACAAGATGACCTGGTTAACTGCCCACGGGTGGGTGTGCATTGTTGAGCCCCATATTGAAAGACATTCTCTAGAGAGACTAGTCCTTGAGATAGAAACACCCAGGACGCCCCAGAGAACTTCTCTCCTGGCTCAAATGAGGCTGTCCATGACCTTCCTACCAGGGACTAAGTAAGGCAAAGAGTTGGCGTTCCCATTTGCAACCCAAAGACTGGGAATACACATGGCTCCCATACCCAAGCCAAAGGACATATATAGCTTGAGTCACCTCCCTTGCTGCATAGCCCATGTCCAGGTGTGGCTGAAGAAACTTTGTTTCCAATAGTGGGGCATGGTGCCCACATAGACCCTCAGACAGCAGTTTTGTCTGGAAGCAGGGTCTTTGTAGATGAGATAGAGGATAAGTAGGGACCCTGGCCCAGTGATGGAGTCCTTCATGGAAGAGGAGAGAACAGATGTGCACGGGCACAATTATGTGACCACAGAGGCAGGGTCTGGGAGCATGTGGTCACAAACCGAAAGACGCCTAGAGCCCCCGGGAGACCAGGGAAGATGTCCTCAGAGCCCTGGGGAAGGCCACAGCTTGTCCATGCCTGGGTTTTGGGTTCCTGTCCCTAACACTTCAGGAGTGGACCTCAGTTAAATCAGGCCTCCCAGCTTGTGGTCCTTGTTCCAGCACACAGGGGCATGCCTGTGACCCCATTAAGAGTCCCACAGGAAAACTATAGAATGTTTCTGGGACTGGAAAGGTTTATTCAAATTCTGTCCTCCATGGGCCCTGGGTGTGAGCTCCTGCTGTGGGTGGGGAGATTTACATTTCCCATAACTGGGGTAGGATGGGCCATGGGGGACCCACGGAACCAAGGAGCTGAGCCTGGCTACAGGAACCAGATACAAGGGAGGAGGCCTGTGGCCATACATTGACCCATGGAGGCTCCCTTCATACAGGGTCATATACTGGGAAGTCGGGGTGACAAGCCAATCTTGGTCTGGAGGCCCAAGGTGAAAAAGCCCTGGTGTCCTAGTCTGCTTTCTGATGCAGTGATAAACATCATGGCCCAAAGCAACTTGGAACGGAAAGGGTTTATTTCAGTTTGCAGCTTACAGCCCATCATGAAGGGAAGCCAGGTCAGGAACTCAAGGCAGGAACTGAAGCAAAGTCCATAGAGGAATGCTGCTTACTAGCTTGCTCCTCATGGCTTACTCTGCCATGATTTTCTTATAGAACTTAGGACCACCTGCTCAGGGGTGCTACTGCCTACAGTGGGCTGCACCCTCCCACATCCATTGTTAATCAAGAAAATGTCCCACAGGCTTGCCTATAGGGCATCTGATGTAGGCGTTTTCTCAGTCAAGGGTCCCTCCTCCCACATAACTATAGCTTATGTCAAGTTGACAGAAAAAAAAAAAAAAAAACCTAACCAGCACACCAGGTGAGGGAGGCCACAAAGATGCTACCACACACCTAGAACAGACCCAAGAAGTCCCTGCCTGCCCAAGTCAGACAGGCTACAAGGAAGAGCCTTCCTACCTCTGCGACCTCTGAGGGACCTACCTCCAGTCCACACCCACCTTGGGTGAAGAGCCCATCCTACTCCCTGCAACGGCTCAGCATAGCCCAATTACACTGCAGCCACACGAGACAGTGCTCTTGCACCAAAAGCAGTAAGAGGCAGTTTAGTTTATACTGAGCAGAATATGAATGGCTGTGGCTAATGAGGTTCCAAAGGATATGCCCCACTGTGGCCATAGTTACAATAACCTTTGTAGTCACAGAACAAATGACAATAATAAGTCAAGGCAATTATCAAACACATTGGTGGAAAGACCAGGTAGGTAGGTTACAACCGCGTGGGGAACCTCTGCTATAGGCCTCAGAAGCTATCTGATGACATTTTTGGCTTTCGAGTTGGTAGAAGCTTAGGATCTGCTGAGAATGGTCTGAAAGTTTGCCTGGTAGATGGATGTTGGTCAGACAATAGAAGTGGGCACTAAATGGGGTGCTATTAGGGGTGCTAAAGATAGCCGAAGACAGTCAGGCTCTGGACCTATAACATCTTTCAACTTCCACAACCGAGACGTTCTAATGAGTTTGTATCTACAGACTCTTCACCGCAGGTAAACTTCAGCTCACATCTGCAAAGACCAAACTTCTGTAGAAGGTCATGTGCACAGTACCAGGAGCTATGGGTTAGATGTACCTTTTGTGGAACACTTCTCTGGGGGTAGCACAATAGCCATGGTGGCTCCAGAGGCATGTGGGAAGAACCTAGGCCTCAACCCCTGTCCAGGTTAGCCACAGGAAGCAGGAAATACCCCCCCCATTCCTTATACCACTCTGTCTCCTCCTTCTCAGCCCCCTTTATTCACAGGGATCTCCCTGTAAAAAGTGTTGGGTTTGAAGTGCTATCCTGCAGGCACCTCAAAGCTGGGCACATGGGACAGCCATGCAGACCTGGGGATCATGGGGAAGTGGGATGTAGAGAGCTATCCCAAGTCAGATAGGAGTTTTCTGCCTACAGTGGAACCCAGGGAAATCCTTCCAGTGTGCTCTTCCCTGGCTGGATACCTGCTTTTAGAAGGGCAGACGTAGGAGCCAAGGCACAATGAGGCCAGGGCCACGCTATGCCCTAGAGATTTTGGGCAATCACCAGAGAAATACAGGGGACCTGTAGGAGGCACAGTTGCACACAGGCCAGTCCTCTCAAGTCACTGCAGTGAAGGATGGAGCTCACGGGCTTGGCTTGGCCAGGTGGGTGGGTGGGAGAGGACCTGAACCCAGCCAGAATAAGAGATGCTGTAGGCAGCCTCTTCATCCTGTTTGCCAAGGTGGGAAATGAAGGGAAAGAGTCTGGTGGGGTCCTGCCTCTGCGACCAGGGAGCCAAGACAAGGCCCCCCTTCCCTCCCCCTCCTTGTTCTTCCCATTGCCCTCTTCACCTGCTACCCGGCTCGGACTTCCCTTCCTGACTTCCCATTCTGCCTTCTGTCCCCGCTTCCCATTTCTAGCCTTCATCTCTGGTTCCCTTCCCTGGCCTCCCCTCCTGGGACTTTCAGGTCCACCTAGGTCCTTCCTTTTCTCCACTCTATCCTCCCAAGCCCTTTGCATCTGAGCTAGGTCCCCTGCCTTCTCATCTACCTACTCAGGGGCAAACACCAGGGTGTCCTCAGACCTTGTCCAGGACAAGCGCAGTCTAGGGTGTGGCTCCTTTGGACTGGGAAACTGAATTCCTTACTTAGTCTTTGGGGGTTTCCAGGACACCCCCTGCAAAGACCTCTGGAGAACTGTGACAGGCGTGTTGGAGTCCAGATGCCCGGAGTTCGGTAAGTGTGGGGAACAGGGACAGGCAGGTGGGTTGCTGAGCCCCTCTCCCCTGTGGGGAATGAGCCTGACTCTAACTACAGCTACTGTGAAGAAAATGGTAGAGGCATGGAAGGGTGGGCCAGCAGGTGGGCAGCTGCCTCATGTCACCTGGGATGGATCTTCCCTGTGAAGAGGGGAAGAGGGTTCCATCTCTGGGTTCCATCATATGTCTCACAGAGAAGCCACCATGCAGACTGCCCAGAGCTCCTGCCCTGGAAGCCCCCCAGATACTGGCGATGGATGGGAGCCAGTGCTATGCCGGGGAGAGATCAACTTCGGAGGGTCCGGGAAGAAGCGAGGCAAGGTAGGGGTGCAGAGACCCCGACCAGATGGGCAAAGGTTGAGAGTTGCTTCCTGCACTTGTGATAATGGGAACCATGAGGTCCGGGACTCCTGCCTTATCCCCCACTCACGAGGGAAAGATATACAGAAACGACCATTATCACACAGGCCTTACCCCAAAAGGGTTCTAGGGCCCACTCATCTGTGCCTTGCCCTTAAGCCCAGCCTCCTCCCCCATGCCCAGAATCCCTCAGGAACTCCCTCCAACCTAACATTTACCATATTCTTAGACTCCTCCAACCCAATGCTGCCTACCTGTGCCCTGACTCTGAACTCATCTGCCCCCTACCCCGCAGTTTGTGAAGGTGCCAAGCAGCGTGGCCCCCTCTATGCTCTTTGAGCTCCTGCTCACCGAGTGGCACCTGCCAGCCCCCAACCTAGTGGTGTCTCTGGTGGGCGAGGAGCGGCCTTTTGCTATGAAGTCCTGGCTTCGGGACATCCTGCGCAAGGGGCTGGTGAAAGCAGCTCAGAGCACAGGTAAGGCTCTCCTTGGACTGGGCCTGCCTGGCCTGCTGCCCTGCTTGTCACTGGGAGGGGGAAGCCAAATCAGCGAGCTCCAGATTCATCAGAGACTATCTTACACAGACGAGATGAATGGCACCTCTGGCCAACACATGTGCCTGTCCCCACATAGGTGTCCTGCACACACAAACGCACACCCAGCAGGAGGGGTGGGGGTTCTGAGTCTCTCGCTGCAGAAGTGATTATAATAAAGGAATGATTCACAGTCAGAAGGAAGTGGGAGCTTTATCATCCTGGTCCCCGCCCAGAACATGTTACCTGAAAGCATCTCTGCCAAATCTTGGAGATTACTATCTGCCACACACATATCCTCCCTGAGCTTTAGTGTCCCCATCAGATTCAGAGTGCTCCCTGCAGCTGGGCATGTTGGTGCATACTGTACTCCTAGCACATGGAACGCCGAGGCAGGGGAATTATTTCAATTTATAGGCTAGACTACACTCTAAAGACCCTTTCTGGGGGAAGGGGAATAAAAGCATTTTCCATCACCTGATCCCTAGATCTCTGACTGTAATATGGCTAGGGGATGAAGCTGGGCCAGCCAGCTATGAGGACTCCAGAACCTTTCTCTCCCAACTCCCACAGGTGCTTGGATCCTGACCAGCGCCCTCCGTGTAGGCCTAGCCCGTCATGTTGGGCAGGCTGTACGTGATCACTCTCTGGCTAGCACATCCACCAAAGTTCGCGTAGTGGCCATCGGAATGGCCTCTCTGGACCGTACCCTTCATAGTCAGCTTCTAGATGGTGTCCAGGTTAGTGACAGGTTCATGGATCCAAGGCTGTAAAGGGCTCAGAAAGCTTGTGTAGGTAGAGGAAGCTATGGACAGACTGGAGGACTATGTTACCCACAGAGACTCCGGGAGTATTGAGAGGTAGGGAACAAGTATGGGCTTCAGTGGGAAGAAAGACATTGGTTGCACGGGGCTCAGCACTCCCCAGCAGGTGGCAGCATCACTCAGGAATAAGGGTGGCAACCTGCTACACTCCTCTAGGGAGCCAGACGGATAGCACTCAGGGCCCAGCCTAGCTGGACTGCTGTCCTATCGTGCCGGAAAACCCTGGCCAGGTGGCTTCTGCTCTCTGGTATTCATTCACATCCCCCACTCTGTGGACTGTGTAAGGCATAGCCAATGAGAAGCCCAGGAGGCCCCACTGAGGTGAAGTCTGGACCCCAGCCCAGAAGAGTCTAGAAGGTGGAGCTTTCACAGCCCTGGCCCCAGCTGTTTCCATGGTTCACTCATTCCAGGGAGGCCCCCGGCCCAGCAGTCCAGCCTCCCTCTGCCTGAGGGGTGGGGACTCTGAGGCCTTGCGGAAGCCTTGCCCAGGGCCCCAGCATGGCGTGCACAGCAAGGCCCAGCCAAAGCTGCTCCTAAGGTCTCCACCTCTCCATGTCTTCCCAAACGCTTGGCACAGGAAGATACTCCCATCCACTACCCTGAAGATGAGGGCAGCATCCAGGGACCTCTCTGCCCCCTGGACAGCAATCTCTCCCACTTCATCCTGGTGGAGCCTGGTGGCCTCGGGAGTGGGAACGGACTGGCAGAGCTACGGCTGAGCCTGGAGAAGCACATCTCTCAGCAGAGGACAGGTTATGGGGGTAAGGCTCACTCCAGATGCACAGGCAGCATCTTGGGGATGCAGACATGGAGATATGATACACACTTCATAGAGAATGAGTGGGAAAAGGCCTTCCAGGAAGCATCCCCACCCCACCCCATCCCCACCCCCGCCGCATGCCTGAGCATAAAGACCTGGGAAGAAAAGCTGTTGGGGTGGGATGGGAGAGTGGCACAGCTGGGTAGGATGGCCCTGGCTAGGCAGCCACCTCTTGGCCAGATAGCAGGACAGCTGCCACTGTTTTAATTGGCACTGTTCTGGCTGCAGACTCTGCTAGCCCATTAAGGCTTCTAAGAGGTGCATTCCCCGCCACTGCCACCAGGGGGCAGAAATGCCTGGAGGAACGGGTACAACTGTGGCTAGTGGAGGGTGTGAAAAAGAGATGGAATGGGTAAATCATAGCAGACGAATGATATGTATAAATGACTATACCATTGCTTAGCATGTGTGTGAATAGTATATTAACAAGCAACCATGTAATTCTTTGGTGAAGCCAATGGAAACAGGTCTGTATCTGACACCACAAAGGCCTCCACAGGACCCCAGGCAGTTTGGGGTTGCTCCCACCTGCTTCTATCACTTTGTTGGCCCAGTGTGTCTCTTGAGATGTGGAGCGACTCTCTCCTAGGCTGGTAGAGTGGCTACCTAGCCATAGGGCTACCCTTGGATGTGGTCGGTGCCACAAGGCCTCACATCTCACAGGTTACTTTGCTTACCTGCCAGCCCCAAAGAGTACAGACAGACAGCTGAAGTCTTGGCCCACGGTCAGGGATTTGACACACTATCTTGGTTGAAAGTGAGAGGGGGAAAGCCACCGTGGGCTGGAGATGTCGCTCGGTTAGTAGAGTGCTCGCCCGTGGCACACAATGCTCTGGGTTCAGTCTGCAGCGTGGAAGGAACCGGGGGCGGTGGCACGTGCTGTAGTCCCAGCACTCTGGAGATGGAAACAGGGACATCATCCTAAACTACACTTCAAATCCAAGACCAGACTGGGCTACATCAGACCCTGGTTTTGGTTTTGGTTTTTTTTTTTTTTTTTTTTTTTTTTAAGGAAGCAGGTGGTGGCACATGCCTTTAATCCCAGCACTTGGGAGTCAGAGGCAGGTGGATTTCTATGAGTTCAAGGTCAGCCTTGTCTACAAAGTGATTTCCAGGACAACCAGGACTGTTACATAGAGAAACCCTGTCTCAAAAAGCAGAGAGAAAGAGAGAGAGAGAGAGAGAGAGAGAGAGAGAGAGAGAGAGAGAGAGAGAGAGAGAGAGAAGCTTTTTGGCAGGGTGTGCCTGAAACATGGTAGCTGGAGGGGGGTTCCTGAGATGGGGGGGTTGTTCTACTTAATGAGGAGGACCTGAGTTTCTCCCTTTCTGAGCATCAAGTGGCCTCATGGCTGCTATACCCACAGGCACCAGCAGCATCCAGATACCTGTCCTTTGCCTACTGGTCAACGGTGACCCCAGAACCCTGGAGGTAAGGACAGGGGAGAGGAAGGGTCTGACTGGAGTCAGGGAGGATGTGGTGGTTTCCCATGGTACCCCGGGGTAGTGTGGAGGGCTGAGGCACCTCCTAAATGTGCGCCTGGATGTCACCTCTGCCTCCCCAGAGGATTTCCAGGGCAGTGGAGCAGGCTGCCCCGTGGCTGATCCTGGCGGGTTCTGGGGGCATCGCTGATGTACTTGCCGCTCTGGTGAGCCAGCCTCATCTCCTGGTGCCTCAGGTCACTGAAAAGCAGTTCAGAGAGAAATTCCCCGGCGAGTGTTTCTCTTGGGAAGCCATTGTGCACTGGACGGAGCTGGTGCGTGCTGCTGGGGGTCGCTGTGGCCATGTGCTGCGTCTCTCCTCCCAGCAACCCCTGGGGTGGGGATGTCCTTCCTAAAAGTCCTGCAGGCCTTGCCTGTGCCCTCTCTCCCATCCCATCTTGGAATCAAGTGGGTCCTTGTGTAGCAGTGAGAGCAGCCAGCCAGCCTGTCAGGCTGAGCTGCTGAGCTAGGCCTGTGGGTCCGCGGGGCAGAGTGGTTTGTCTGAAGACCCTTCCAGGCTCCATTCAGACCTCAAGCCTCTTCCTGGCCCTAGCTACAGAACATCGCTGCACACCCCCACCTTCTCACTGTGTATGACTTCGAGCAGGAGGGTTCTGAGGACCTGGACACTGTCATCCTCAAGGCACTTGTGAAAGGTGAGCCGCCTAAACCTGCCCTCAGAGGCAGCAGGACTCAGCAGTGTCCGCAGCGGATGACTTGTCTGGTGACGCAGATTTGCAAAGCCTTTCTGAGAAATGTGTCTGCATGGGAATGTATGGCTCTGCCCTGTTAGTGGGCAAGAATATGTTGGCCAAGATGTGCATTTCTGAAAACAGGACTGTGCCTCCTGTGCAGACTAAGTCCAGGAGGTTCCGGGATGTTGTCCCTGAGTGTTTAGTTTAGTCCTGTGCCTCTTGCTGCTGTTCAAAGGCAGCTGCCAACCCCCATCAAGTCCGTAGAGAGTTCCAGTTCTTCCCCTCCATCTCTGTGGGACTCACTCCCACCCACAGCCTGCAAGAGCCACAGCCAGGAGGCCCAAGACTACCTAGACGAGCTCAAGTTGGCTGTGGCCTGGGACCGCGTGGACATTGCCAAGAGCGAGATCTTCAATGGCGACGTGGAATGGAAGGTGCCCCCCTACCCAGACTTGATTCGGGAACACTGGTCAGGGAATGCACTGAGGCCTGAGAAAATAGGGTCTCAGGGGTGTCATCTGGGCCCACTCTGTTCCAGCTGTTGTCCTGGAGGGGGTCAGAATGACATTAGGGAACCCCCAAAGTCCAAGCTGGGGTGTTGGAGTCCTGACACTCTTATTGTCAACTCAGCAGCCCTTTCCTATCTCTGGCCCCTGAGGCCTGTATGCTCGCTGACCCATGCCTGCTCCAGTCTTGGGGTACAGGTTGGGGTGCCCAGGAGAGGATGTCCAGCCCCTCTTTCTCCCTCTTACTGTCCCAATCTCCTCCTCTACTGGGTGAATCCAGTCCTGCGACCTGGAAGAGGTGATGACGGATGCCCTAGTGAGCAACAAGCCTGACTTCGTGCGCCTCTTTGTGGACAGCGGTGCTGACATGGCCGAGTTCTTAACCTATGGGCGGCTGCAGCAACTTTACCACTCGGTATCCCCCAAGAGCCTCCTCTTTGAACTGCTACAGCGTAAGCATGAGGAGGGCCGACTGACGCTGGCTGGCTTGGGTGCTCAGCAGGCCCGGGAGCTGCCCATTGGACTACCTGCTTTCTCACTCCACGAGGTCTCCCGTGTACTCAAGGATTTCCTGCACGATGCCTGCCGTGGTTTCTACCAAGACGGGCGCAGGGCGGAGGTGAGTAGAACCAGGTTGGGCCAAGGTGTGCTGAGCGGGTTGAATGTTGATGCCCTGTTCTGTAGGAGAGAGGGCCGCCCAAGCGACCGACAGGCCAGAAGTGGCTGCCAGACCTCAATCGGAAGAGTGAGGACCCTTGGAGGGACCTGTTCCTCTGGGCTGTGCTGCAGAACCGTTATGAGATGGCCACATACTTCTGGGCCATGGTGAGCAGTCACCCCAGTCCATGGCTCCCTTGGCATCCTGAGAAACAGACTGGAGAATGGTGGGGCAGTTGAGCCACCTTCTAAGATCCTGTCTTTCCATCTTCCAGGGCCAGGAGGGTGTGGCTGCTGCTCTGGCTGCCTGCAAGATCATAAAGGAAATGTCCCACCTGGAGAAGGAAGCAGAGGTGGCCCGCACCATGCGTGAGGCCAAGTATGAGCAGCTGGCCCTGGGTGAGTGACAGGCAGAAGGCCTCTGCTTCTCTTCCCCTGAAGACAGGGAAGTGGCTGTCTACAGAAAGTAGTTCAGAGTAACCCTCATGGCCTCCTATGTAGAGCACAGAACTCAGGGCAGTTACTCCTGGGAGTGGAGGTTGGTCAAAAAGTCCCGACAGGGAGGTGGAGAGGTGACAGGCCCCAGTACATGATAGCTACATAGTAGGCCCTACCACAGAGTGAATGGTGTTTGGCAATTAAGGCCCTCACAGTACTAAGAGAAGGGCAAGAGAAGGTCAGAGATTGAGAAGGACCCTGGGACCAAGCAGGGACTCTCAGTGGCCCTGTAGCATGGGAGGCCTGGTTGGAGCGTAGAAAATAGATGCAGAATATATGTATGCTGCAGAAAACGGGTATCCAGGGGCCAGGCATCAGCACCCCATCCCAGCAGTTGGCTTTTGTGCAGATCTTTTCTCAGAGTGCTACAGCAACAGCGAGGACCGCGCCTTCGCCCTGCTGGTACGCAGGAACCACAGCTGGAGCCGGACCACTTGCTTGCACCTGGCCACTGAAGCCGATGCCAAGGCCTTCTTTGCCCATGATGGTGTGCAAGTGAGTAGCTAATCCGCCTAAGGATGCCCTGGGGTGAAGGAGCATTGGCAGGGCCCAGGCTACCCACCCAGAACACTGAGGTACCTCAGCTAATGTCCCAGCCTACAGCTTCCAGCCCATGCCCAAGCAACATATGGAAGGGACCAGGAAGGGTAGCTGGTCCTTCATCAGGGATGCTTTTCTAGCTTGGTTCTTGGACCCAGTAACACCTGTTCTCAGTTTGGTTGTCCTTAACCCCAATTCACAATTCTGTTATTGAAAGGTTACAACAGGGCTGGGGGTGTAAATAGAGTATACAGCATGCATGAAGCCCTGGGTTCAATCCCTAGAACTGAATAAATCAGGTGTGGTGACTCGTGACAGCAATCCCATCATTAGGGAGGTGGAGACAAGAGGACCAGGAGTTCAAGGCCATCCTCAGCTGGGTAGTTCACAGTTTTTCCGAGTTATAGGAGAGTGCTGCAAAGACAAAAGAAGGGAAGGAGGGGCAGGTTGTGAACAGTCAAACATGTGCTCCCAGAAAGAGTCTGACCTTCTGCCAAGCAGGTGCACAGGTGGGGGCTTGAGAGGGTCTGTGCACCTCAGGCACAGGGCCCTGGGTAAGTGACAATGTGGCGGTAGGCAGCCAGAACATGGGACTTTATTCTAGGCATTCCTGACCAAGATCTGGTGGGGAGACATGGCCACAGGCACGCCCATCCTACGGCTGCTGGGTGCCTTCACCTGCCCAGCCCTCATCTATACCAACCTCATCACCTTCAGGTAGGTTTATGTAGGCAGCAGCAGGCGCCAGAGTCTCTCACTGTTCCTACTTCTCATAGCCCAATGCCCAATTGGCTATGTGAGCCCTCCTTCTCAGTGGGCCTAGTACTTCCTTCTTCTGTGTGCTTGGGATAGCCTTCCCTGTGTTGCAGTGAGGATGTACCACAGAGGATAGGCCCGGAAGAGCTGCAGGAGCCAGACAGCTTGGATATGGAAAAGAGCTTCCTGTGCAGCCAGGGTGGCCAGTAAGGAGTGGCGGGGGGGGGGTGTGTGAAATGGATAGAGGGGGGCAGGAAGGATGAAGCGAGGAAAGATGGAAGGAGCTAGGAAAGTGGGAAAGGTAGACTGGGCCCAGAAAGACAGAGGGCAAGGAAAATGGGGGAGACTATAGAAGGGATAGAGGGGGCTGAGAAGGATAGAGAAGGCTGGGGATCATGGGAGTTAAGGATGGAGAGAGAGGAAGGACTACCACTCAGCAGTGGCCAGTGGTTAGACACAGGTAGACAGAGGTGAACTCCCATGGGGGTAGGGTGGTTAGGTGCCTCCTCACCATGGTGACCTCCTTTGCACCCACACAGATTGGAGAAGCTGACAGAGACACCAAGGGCTCCAGGTGAACTGGGCCCACAAGCTGCCTTCCTGCTCACACGGTGGCGGAAGTTCTGGGGAGCACCTGTGACTGTGTTCCTGGGGAACGTGGTCATGTACTTTGCATTCCTCTTCCTCTTCACCTATGTCCTGCTGGTGGACTTTCGGCCACCTCCCCAGGGGCCATCTGGGTCTGAGGTCACCCTCTATTTCTGGGTGTTCACACTGGTGCTGGAGGAAATCCGACAGGTCAGTGGGGAGCCTGGCCCTCTCCTGGGCTCTGCAACTCAGGCTGTGTTATGTGTAGCTCCAGGCGGGGCCTGCTCTGAGGGCTAGGACTGTCTATCTATAGAACAAGACCACAGTGTGACCTACTGTGCCATGGTCCTGGTCAGGCTGAGCCCCAATCCCAGCTCCAGACCCAGCCCTTATTTTGATCAGAATAAGCCTGATCTTCATCACAGTCTTGATGTCCATCACGGTCAGAGCCCTGAACATGACTTCAGCTCCATTCTGAGCCCTGAGCCCTGCTCCAGATTGATCATGATTCCCTGGCCTGAGTCACTGGCTAAGTCCAGACAGACACTCAATGTAAACTGACCCCGAGTTCAGTCACAGACAGTTCTGACTCAAGTTCAGCTGGACCTCATTTTTTTGTTCCCAGACTCAGCCCTGAAATATCTTCAGCTGATACCCCCAGCCCCAACCATACACTGGCTCCTAGTCACCAGCTGATTCTGATCAGCTTGGCAAACTGAGCCCTGATCCATGCAGATTCTACTCTGGTCTCAGGGAGGTGGAACCTGGCTGCTGTAACCAGACTTCCTCCCTCCGCTAGGGCTTCTTTACAGACGAGGACACACGCCTGGTGAAGAAGTTTACTCTGTATGTGGAGGACAACTGGAACAAGTGTGATATGGTGGCCATCTTCCTGTTCATTGTCGGTGTCACCTGTAGGTCTGTAGCCTCCGCTGGGCTGGGTGGGCAGGTCTAGGAGGCCCACTCAGTCCTCTGGAATCCTGGGGTGGTCCTGGAAACGACCCTTTGGCCATTTGGCAAGCCTACATTGTATCTTGGGGGAAACCTCTTGATGTCCACGGGCACCTGCGGCTCTACCCAGCCATCGTCTCTCTCCAGGATGCTGCCCTCGGTGTTCGAGGCTGGCCGCACTGTTCTGGCCATCGACTTCATGGTGTTCACACTTCGGCTCATCCACATCTTTGCCATTCACAAGCAGCTGGGTCCCAAGATCATCATTGTAGAGCGGATGGTGGGTCCTGGGGACCCTGGTCCTTGAGGGGGATGAGGCACTGGGTCCCCAGCCTTGGATAGATGGGGCACCTAACCCAGAGGATAGTGAGTCCTCAGGACCCTAAACCCATTGAGGGTGAGTCCCCTGGAGCCCCAGCCCTGGATAGTTGAGGAGCCCAAAGGAACACTGACTCAGATGGTAAGGGCCCTGGGCTTTAACTCTAGATGAGAGTAAGCCACTACTGTGTCCACCTAAAGGGGTGATTCCTGTAGTCCTAGCCTTGGGTAGATGGGATCCTAGCCCTGGGTGGAGGTGAGCACCCTGGAACCCTAACTTGGGTGAGGGGTAAGCCCCCTCGGACCTTGACCTTGGGTGGTGATGAGCCCCCACCCTGGCTGGCAGTGGGAATCCTGGAATCTTCAACCCTGAATGGGGGTAAGTTCTGAAACCCCAGCCAAGGTGGTGGTGAGAACCCTGGCACCATAGGGACACCATAGGCCCGAGAGGGGATGATCCACCTGGAACTCTAACCCTTGGTTGACAAGGTAAGAACCTAGAAACGCCAGCCCTAGGTGAGAGTAATCTCTCTGGACTCCCACATGGAGGAAAGTGAGTTCCCATTCAGCCCATCTATGACTGTGACCCTCCCCCTTGCAGATGAAGGATGTCTTCTTCTTCCTCTTTTTCCTGAGCGTGTGGCTTGTGGCCTATGGTGTGACCACTCAGGCCCTACTGCACCCCCACGACAGCCGTCTGGAGTGGATTTTCCGCCGAGTGCTCTACCGGCCTTATCTGCAGATCTTTGGGCAAATCCCTCTGGACGAGATTGATGGTTTGTGCTGAGCCAGGAAGGTGGGCTGGTGGGCTTCAGGATATGTGGTCCTCTGCTGGGACTTCTGTGTCACCAAGGCCCTGGCTGGAAATGCCTGAGACAATCCTAATTTTAGGACACAGGCCTTGCGTACCTTCCAGGCTGGGATGCAGAGGCAGGGCAAGACACAGCCAGTCATAGAACCCCTACCTTTTCCCTGACTGGGAAGCCGGCCATGGAGATCCCAAATAGCCAGAGCTGGCTTTCTGTCTGAGGAGGCCGAGGGCTGGGTTGGCTCTTGGAGACAGAGGTCTTGTGAGGGGCAGAAAAAGGACAGCCACTATGAGCACAGCATGAAGAACCCGGGCCACCCTGGCCATTCCACGCTGCTTTGCCTGGCTGAAGTCTCCATGTGATCCATCTGCTCACCACTTCCAACTGAACTCACTTTCATTAGGAATCCATCCAGCTGGTGTGTGCTGCCTGTTGGGATGTGGCTTGTTTGTAATCATGGGTGTCCCTTCAAGGTAGGCCCTGCCCCTAGCTAGGGCTGATGGAGATCCTAGGAACTTCATGACAAGTGGGTGCAGTTGGGTACTTATAGCAGGGGTCTTGTGGGTGGTGGAGGAAGGAAAACACTGGAGCCAGAACGGGGACCTGTGCGGACCTAGGGGGCTAAGATTGGGCAGAGGGATCTGGTTCATTAGACAGGAAAAGGGCTTAGAGAGGTGGAGGCTTAGGACAACAGCTCCACTGAGCATGCGCAGGCTTAGAGATGGGGTGCAGATGGAGGCATAAGGGTGAGTGTTCACGCTAGTGTCAAGGGACTTAGGGTTAGTCAACCATGGAGCTATGCAATTTGAATAGTCAGCAAAGACCTGACCCCGGCCATCCTGGGGGAGGCCAGGTCAGCAATCACAACACTTGATGAATATTTGTCAATAGAGGACAGTGAGATTGGAGCAAGCCCAGGCCTCTGACGACAGAAGGGCTGGGAATTAACTTCGAATTGGAGTGTTCCCAAGCCATACCCTGGGCTGTTTTCTTCTCCCCGCCCCAGCGCCTTGGGTGTTTGCTCAACCTGAGCCATCGCTTTCCTAGCCATTAGCTTAAGCAGGTATTGCCTGCCTCTCCCCTCCCCCTCACCGTATGGCCTCATGACCCCAGTCCCTGGGGGCAGAAAGAGGAAGTTGAGTGCCCTGGGCAGAGCAGCTCTGGGGTCTCAGTTCTCTAGTAACTACAATTCTGGTCTCTCTTGCACAGGCATTGGGAAACAGGCTCAGGCCAACTGGCAGCCTAGAAGGGCAGCGGGTTGGAAGGGCCTTAGTCTAGACATGGAGGCCACCGCAGGGTCAGCAGAACCACTATGGATGTGACGGGCATAGCAAGTCATGAAGCAGTTTTGCCAGTCCCCTTGTTAGTTCCCCAAACAGAATCTACTAGGCTGAAAATGGACCGGTATTCTCTAACATGTCTGTGCTCAGAGAGAAACTACGGTCTGGGTAATTCTGGCCCACTTTGTGAGGTATAGAGACGGGGGAAGCCCTTCCCTTCCCTTCCACCCCTCCACTCCCCTTCACACCGCACTTTCTCCTCTTACACCAAACTCTGGACGCCAGGGTCACATTGTGTTCAACCAGGCCATGTGGGCCTTCTGAGACCTCAGGCAGATGCAGACTTATGGCTTCACAAGGTGGGGCTTGGCCACTCCTCCGGGGACCTTGGGAGGGAAGAGAGTGGGAGAACAGCATCATTCATAGGCTTGGGGGCTGCTAAGGTGAAGAGATGAGATCCGGCTTTCTCAGAAGGCTGCATACACCCCTCCATAGAACACTCATTCACTGTCCCATGGGTTGACCGCTCATCCTAACTCACTGGGGCCACAAGGCAGGAATTTGTCCTAGAGAGGGAGACAGGGTCAGAGAAACGCTAGATGTACCGGTATGTACCGGTAGACCTTGAAAGTCCAACATAGCAGAATTGCACCCCACACAGCCTCCCTGGAGTGTCACTTGTAACACAGAGCTCCGGAAGAACAGGAATAGAACCTGCACGCAGGCACATAAGTCCACACCTACTTACACGGCAGTCATCCACCAGCACACAACCTGGAGAAGATGGAATGGAACCAGGGGCAGGGATGGCAACCTCAGCCTGTGCTGCCCTGCAAGCTTGGCCAGGTGTAGCCAAGGTGGGGACCTGGAGGAGAAACACATAAATAAAGGGGCTGACAGCTCAAAGGGGCTAATGTTGTGGCCCAGAACCCTAGAGGGGATGCCCAGGAAAGTGGAAACTCCCAGAGTGGGCAGAGATGCATAGAAGGTGGCAGATGCACTCCCAGCTAGGAGCCCTGGGTGGGAAAGGCACAGATAGTCAGCTCTTCTGGGGTAGGTGGAGGAATTGTTTCATGCAATGACAGACAGAAACGGGTTCCATGACTCTTGTATCCTCACTTCCGTTCCTCACATGGACTTGGCTTGCCTCCGTGCCCTGTGACCTTTCCTGGAATCCCAGCAGAGGATGCAGATGATACGCAGTCCACCTGTTAGTTTGGTGCAACTAGGGCTGGCTTCCACAGTGGCACTTTTGGTGCTTTGTGGTTCACATAGCCAGCCCTTTGTGAACCAGGCCCCCGGCTGCCTAGCCAGACTTGCACCCTGGTGGCCTCAGCTTGGAACCACATTCCCAGTCTGAAGATGTCTGTTTGTCTTGCAGAGGCCCGTGTGAACTGTTCGCTTCATCCTCTACTGCTGGAAAGCTCGGCTTCCTGCCCCAATCTCTATGCCAACTGGGTGGTCATTCTCCTTCTGGTCACCTTCCTGCTGGTCACTAATGTGCTACTTATGAACCTGCTGATCGCCATGTTCAGGTACCCCCTCTTCTCCTGGACACCTGCCCTCACTATATCCCTGCTCGAGCTTCTCAGTGGAGCTGGTTTCAGGGTGCCGGCAGAGATAGGACCTGTGTCTCTAGTAGAAAGGACCTAGTCCCTTTCACTGTTGTGTCCACTGGGCTGGCCCTGCAGTAGAGAGCCAATGCCTCAGCTCTGGGCATACTGTGAACCCACCCCAGCTCAATGCTGGATGTCTATCCTGCTAAGAAGGAGAGTGAGTCTACAGGCATGGGGACTCAGGCCTGTGAGTATGTCCCATGGCAGTACACTTGAGTCTGTGACTGAGGGGTGCTGGCCCCTGTCTTAGTCTTCTTTCCATTGCTGGGATAAAACTGCTTGAAGTTTTAGGAAGAGCAACTTAGGAGGAGGCATGGTTTACTTCATCTTACATGCCCAGATCACAATCCATCACTGAGGGAAGTCGGGGCAGGAGCTCAAAGCAGGAACCACACAGGAATGCTGTTTGCTAGCTAACTCAGGTTCATGTTTAGCTGGACTTCTTACACAGCCCAAGACCTCTCACACTGGGAATGGTGCGGCCCACAATGGCTTGTGCCCTCCTACATTAAATAACAGTCAATATAACCCACCACAGATATATGCACAGGGCAATGGGATCTTGGCAGTCCCTCAATTGTGGTTGTCTTCTCAGGTGACTCTAGATGGTCAAGTTGACAGTTAAACCTATGTTAGCCTCCATCTCTGAAAGGGCTCCCAGTACAGGCCAGTTGCCCCCTGAATGCAATTAAGATGACGTATAGGGAGTGGAGGGTAAATGGGGTGGGATGAAAGGTGGGAAGTGGGATCCAGGAGGGGTGGCATATAGGGTGGGAAGTGGTGCCGGGTTGAGGAAGGATGTTTCTATGGGTGGGAGAGCAGCTTATAAGGCAAGGGCTTGGCCATGTGTCCTGTAGCTACACATTCCAAGTGGTCCAGGGCAATGCCGACATGTTCTGGAAGTTTCAACGCTATCACCTCATTGTTGAATACCACGGGCGACCAGCTCTGGCCCCGCCCTTCATCCTGCTCAGCCACCTGAGTCTGGTGCTCAAGAGGGTCTTCAGGAAAGAAGCCCAGCACAAGCGTCAACATCTAGGTGAGGCCACAGGCTGGATGCCACTGTTCCTAAGGGTCCTAGCTGCCAGAGAAGACTGCCAGAGAAGACTCACAGAAGGGACTGGGGTTTCTTCTTTTTTTTTTTTTTTTTTTTTTTTTTTTTTTTTTTTTTTTTTTTTTTTTTTTTTTTTTTTTTTTTTGATTTTCGAGACAGGGTTTCTCCGTAGCTTTTGGTTCCTGTCCTGGAACTAGCTTTTCTAGACCAGGCTGGCCTTGAACTCACAGAGATCCTCCTGCCTCTGCCTTCCGAGTGATGGGATTAAAGGCATGCGCCACCACCGCCCGGCTGGGACTGGGGTTGCTCGTCTAGGCCCTGAAAGGCTAACCAAAGCCCCAGGCCCATACTAGACAGCCATAGGGCCATCCTGTCTCCTTGCAGCCCAAAATTCCTCCATGGGGCCTATTTCTGCCATCTGCCTTGTGCCCCATCTGGTGGCATCTGCACTAGTCCCGTGCCACAGCCTGGGCTTGGGCTCTGCCCTACGGGCCCACACAGCTCTCCAAGGCTTGCTGCTGTCTCCCACCTTGCCAGAGAGAGATTTGCCTGCCCCCTTGGACCAGAAGATCATTACCTGGGAAACAGTTCAGAAGGAGAACTTCCTGAGCACCATGGAGAAACGGAGGAGGGACAGCGAGGGAGAGGTGCTGAGGAAAACGGCACACAGGTGGGGCGGCCTATGGGACTCCAGACAGCAGGCATGTGAGGCTCAGGCTGGCAGGTGTCACCATGCCTGTTCATGAGCTGTCCAGAGATGTAGAGAGGGCCCTACCTGGAGGCAGGTGGACTCAGATGCAGTGGGGCTGGGTTGACCTTGGTCAACCGGGTGTTATGAGGGGCAATAAGTCTGGGAGGGGCCCCCTAGTGCAAGCATACAGAGGCAGACAAGTATCTAGTCTTCAGTAATGGTGGGATTTTCGGAACTGTCTTAAGGCTGATGAGACTCTTTAGTGCCAGTAATAGGACCTCTGAGCTGGGGAAACATGGCTGTGTCACAGGACCCAGCACTCTAGCCTCTTGCTCTAGGGGGAGGGACGGGACATAAACCCCGTAATTAGGTATCTTTATGAATGGGACTCTGTCTTCATCCTCTCTCAAGTCTGAAGAGCCATCCCCAGACGATGCTGGGTGGTAGGGCTGTTCCTGAACGCTTCCAAGCAGGGGCAGGACCTCAGTCTCTGGGAGGACACAGAAGTGTTCCGTATCTATAGACAGCACCCAGATCCAGATTAAAATGAGAGTAGCGCAGCAGAGGCAACAGCAGACGGAGGCCCTGAGAAGGCAGTTAGGGCAGGCAGGCTCCCCCTTGTGGCGTGCCATGGAAGTGTCACATCTGTGGCGGGCTCTGCTTTCCAGAGTGGACTTGATTGCCAAATACGTCGGGGGGCTGAGAGAGCAAGAAAAGAGGATCAAGTGTCTGGAATCACAGGCAAGCCAGCAACCCATTGTCCATTCTTCTTGAGGTGGGGCCATCCTTCTGCTTCTATGGGAACTACCATAGCCCTGTACTAGCATTCTGATGGGCAGCATTAGGGCTGGGAAAGAGCGGAGGGATTATGGACAGAGTAGATGTCAGGGCAGAAGCATATGTTGGCTTATGCCTGTCCTTGCCCCAAAGTCACTTTAGAGACCCACCTTTCTTCTAGAGCTGTTCCAACAAAACCTAGAATCTCCACCACATCCTGTCACCATCCCTTATGCGACATGGGGGAGCCTGGTCCAGAGTGAGGAGTCTTGGGGCCGCAGTTGCCCTGGCAGGAAGGGAGTCATGGGAGGGACCCCGTGCCAAAGTCCAGCACCTCCCTTGGCTTCTTCCAGGCCAACTACTGTACGCTTCTCCTGTCCTCCATGGCTGACACAGTGGCTCCAGGCAGCACCTACTTAAGTAAGTGTTGTTTAGGCCATGGGAATGAGGTGGGCATGGGCTTTTCCCTTTGGCCACTGATTGGGGCGAGAGCAAAGCTGTAGGCGGAGCATCTGGCCCTGCCTTCCCCACCTGTGCTGGAGGTGCCTACCCCCCTGGCAGGCCGATGTTTCCAAGGCATACAGGTGCCTGAGGCAGAGCCTTAGAGTGCCAAGGATCCGTCTGGTATGAAACCTGCTGGACAAACGGCCTTATCACACTCCGTATCCTGGACCTTGCCTCTTTCCTGCCTTGTCCTGCCCCAGCTGGGGCTCCACAGCTGAAGGTCCTCTCTCCCTTCCTTACTCCCAGGCTCTCAGAACTGTGGTCGCAGGAGTCAGCCAGTCTCTGCCAGAGACAGGGAGTACCCAGAGGCTGGCTTGCCACCCTCAGACACCTGACATGGAGGGACCACCTGTCCTAGAGCCCCAGACCTTGCCATCTTGGGGTCTACCAACCTTCCCCTACTCTCAGCAACTCCCAGAAATGGTCTTCTAGGCCTTGTCACACACCACTTCTTGGACATTCCTTCCTATGAAAATGAAATTGATGTCTCTTGGCACCTATCTGGGAGCCCCAGCAGGAGGAAGTTCTTTCAGTCCTACCTAGAGCACTCACTGGCTTGAACTGGACATCAGGAACCAAGTCCCACACAGGACACCATCTGCCTAGGCTGAACTAAAGTGGGTCTAGGTCCCCATCTTTACCCTGAGTTCCTAAGAAAACCACCTTTTAAACATCAGCAGTTTCTTTCTGCTCTCAAAGACCGGTACTTCATCAGCTGACCAGCTTGTAGAGCGCTGGTAATCACCAGCCTTGACCCTTCTGCCCCCACAGCATTATCTGCGAAACCGTTGTGGCAGTAACCCCAAGATACTGTCCAAGGGTACCCAATGAAGCTATAAAGCCTGCAGACCACCTCAACCCAGTTACACTGGAAAGCAGGGATGGCTGAACATGCATTTCAAACACCTGGGGAGCATGGGGAGTTACCTAACCTATTGAACGGTATCTCGGTTGCTTCCATTGCTCCTCAAATTGTATGACCATCCAGGCTGATCCCTTGTTTTTGGGAACACTCATGTCCTGGAATAGGGACTAGAGACACTAGGGCAGACTTGGTATTTAGCAGGACAGGTTAGCTAGCTTGGTCCAAGACCCTGGCCTCCACATCAGGTATGCAGTATCTTTTCCGCACATCATTCTTTTCTTCCCAGGCTAAGCACCAGCTAAATGACCTAGCATCAGGAATGTCCTACACAGAGATCACAAGTCCTGGAGTCATACAGGGCACCAGCTCTTTGGGTGGATACCTGCCCAACCTCCCTTGCTGACTCAGTCTACCCTCTTCCTAAAACTGATCTGCACAGGCCTGGTGCTGAGGCTGTGCTGGTTTCAGGGAGCAGATTATGTTCATCCATTACCATCAGGGGCACAAGGCTGGGCATGGCTATGAGCCCAGTCCCTCTGGGTAGGCTCGCCAGTGGCAAAAGTAAAGGACCATGGCAAACCTTCACAGCAGTTCCCACTGGAGTGGGGAAGGCAAAGAGACCGATGTAGATGGAGTCCTGCAGTCAGGTGTCAAGGGCTGTTTGAACAGATCTTTTGAAGGGGGCCCAGAAAAATCCACAAAATCTAAGACATACCCCAAACTTTTATTGTCCACCCCAGGACAATGGGGCACAAGGGCCTCCAAGGTTCCACATTCCCAGCCAGGGCTGTTGCACAACACAGCTTCCCTCAAGCCTGGGCTGGGCAGGTGAGGAGGTGGAGAGCTAGCACTGCAGTCAAACTGAGGGGCCTCTCTCAGACCCTGGCCCCTCGGGGTTACTGTCCCTGTTCCGGAAATGTTCTCTGCTCCGCTTCTTGCTGCCATGGAAACCAACAGCCTCCATCCCTGTGGGGTCTGAGGAGGACCCAGGGTGGTCAGCTCCTGAAGGTACCACTACCTCTTGCAGTCCCTGGTGGCCACTCCACTCCTCAGCCTCAGGCCCGGCCAGATGGGCCAGCTCCACAGAGGCCTCACCCCCAGCACTTGACACATCCCCCTTCTTTAGGATCCTCTTCCTCTCGGCCCTAGCCTCACTGCCTCGTACTGGTTTGGTAAAGACCACTCTCCCCTCCCCACAGCTAGAGGGATCCTGGTTGAAGGAGGGGACATAGTCCGTAGGGGATGCCTGGCTGCGAGAGCCCAGGAAGGCCAGAGCAGCTGCACGATTGTTCTGCTCACTGACTTCAGCCACATCTTCCAGACTGTACTTGGTCCAACGTTCAGGATGGGACACATAATCCGGCACAGGAGGCACCCTGACTGGGCCAGTGCTCTCATGCACTCTGCTCAGGTTCCTTGCCGGAGTCTGACTTGGGGGAGTCACAGGCCGTTTGAAGCTGCCATTGTCAGTCACACTAGTTTGGGGCGCAGAGGGCGGTGCCTGCCGGGCCGCACTCTCCAGACAATCAAAGATGCTGTGACTGCGCTGCGAGAAGGTGGAACTCATGCCTCGGAGGTGGAACGGCTGGACTGGGGTAGTGGGGACACCCGTGAGGGGTGAGGGAGGGTCATCGGGACCGGAGTCCTCCTGGGCTTCCCCGGAAAGCCTCTCCGGGGACAAGACTTGCACCTCGGCACCACTAGGTAGGCTGAGGTCCGAGTCTGAGTCGCTGAGGGAGACGGTGTCGGAAGGAAGGGTGTCATCCTCGGTGGGTTCCTCAGCCTCCAAGCCAGCCTCCGCCTCCGCCATGCCGACCTGGGACCCTCCCCACCTGTAGCGAAATAGCCCAAGTTCTGCCGTAAGGGGTGTACTTAGGCCACGCCCCTCCGTGTCCACCCAGGCTCCCCTCTTTCACCTCCACTACGTGCTAGGCGCCTCTGTTCACAGTCAGACGCTGCCCGGTCATGCAGGCGAGCGACGGCCTCGCGAAGCTGAGTGCCTAAAGTGTGTCCACACGCGCACAGTTGTGGAGCTGCAGGTTAGACAGGGTTAAGGAAGAGAGTCAACCATGAGAGCAGAGAAGTGCAGACAGATAAAGGATGCGCGCTGGGAGATGCTGGAGACAGGCTTTAGATCAGCAGAGCACAGCCTCTCCGGGTACACACCGCCACCGCAGGGACTACCCAGCCACGTCCGGAGGAAGCGCCGTCAGGGGACTGGCCTAGTCGCGCGGTTCTAAGGAGGCCGACGCTCACCGTTCCGTGCTCGTTGCAATACCCAGCGGCCTTTCCCAGCAGAGTCCCGCCGGTTCCGCGGGATTCGGCCCGTGGTTCCTGCCCACTTTCGCTCGGCTTTCTGGGAAACCGAGTCCCCGGCTGTCTGAATGGCACGACTTTAGTACATCAGGAACTACAACTCCCAGAAGGCAATGGACCAATGCCCAACGGGAGGTGTAACCTTTACGTAAGCGCATCACCGAAAACCGGAGCGGACACGGAATTGACGAAAGAGGAAGAGGCGGAACCAAGGGGGGCCTCGATTCCCATAACACTCTAGGGCTAGGCCAGTCGCAAAGGGTTGAGGCCTCCAGCGCCGCCTGTCGGAACCCGCCTGAGCCGGGTTCGTTACAGGGAGGAAGTGCGTCACCACGCAATGCGGGCGCCAACTAGTTTCCTGGCCGGAAGTGGCGCCGGTCTCGTCCTCCGTTGGCTCTCTGGAGCGGGGTGGGACTAAAGTCCTAGTTGGCTTTTGGAATCTAGAGATGTGGTGGACCCTGGATTGTCGATTAGTTGGTTGGGGCAGCAGAGATTCGAGGCCGCTCCTCTGGGCTCTGCCTATCCGTGCTTGGGCAGGGACCCCACTTTTTAAAGCCGCACACAACCCCGCCCCAGGCTTGGAGCTGTCCTCTTGCATCCCTGAGGTCCAGGGTCTGAGGATACAGTGGGCTGCTTCGTGCTCCCCTTCTTCCCTAGTTCCTGAAGCTGCAGGCCACTCAACAGCCTTGGCCACGTGCTTCACAACATAAAGAGAAAGGGTTCCTCAGACCAGCAGCCCACCCAAGCAGGGAACAGGCTTGTACAGGGGTGGGGGAGGTCGAGATCAGAACGCCCTAGTACAAGCTTGGGGTTCGCTGACAAATCAGCCTCCTGGGAGGCTGCTAGGAGCTGGGATCTGAATCTTAGCCAGGCTTTCTCTCCCCTAGAGGCCAATTAAGTATGCCAGCAGCCTGGGGGAGGGGCTCAGACAGGCGTCAAAGGGGAAAAGACAGTAGTGGTGGTAGCTGCAGGTGTCCAGGAGGTTGCTTAGCCTGACTTAGTTCACAGGGCTGACCTGAGTGGGCTGCCATCTTGCCCATTACTCCTTGAGACCATAGGCTAGAGCCACCCAGCTCTGTAGAACATTTCTAAGCACCTAGATACTAGGGATGAGGCAGTGGTCTAACCTTTGCTGTGTTGTCCCTCAAAAGGGGTATGGGATAGGGGTGGGGTGTTTTTGTAGCCTATCCCCACCATTCTGTGAATTTTCCTGCTGTGTGGCTCCGCCTACCCTGCTCAGCAATGACTTGGCACGTCCAACAGATGAGTGGAAATGAGGTCAAGGCTGGTATAAGGTCAGCACTGAGCTCCTAGGACAGGGAGGTAGAAACGAGGGAGTACTCACATGGAGTGCTCCCTGGGCCCCAACCCTTCCCTCCCACTGTGTTCCACAGCCTCTCTTGGACCTGCTCACCCTGTGCCTGGCGAAGTTCAGAGCTGAGCCCGGTCTCAGGAAGAGGTCTGGCAGTCCCATTAGCATGCCTGATTTTCTCCTCCTTTATTAAATGACTGTTTCAAGATGTAATTACAGTAGAAGGTGATACGTTAGAACAGGTGCATTGAAGGCATAAGAGTGCTTACAACCCAGCTTTTGAAATGGGGGCAGAAAAGGGACAAGGATTAAAAAGATATAAGCAACGTGACCCACAGTGGGCAGAGTGGGTGGACATGGCCCTCTAACTCAGCTACAAAGCCTCTGGGCAAGTAGCTATGGAGGAGGTTTGGCTCAGCAGGCAGAGCTCCCCAGGGGTCCTGGAAGTATAGGGCCCTGCAAGCCAGGGCCAGCTCCACCCTTATATCCCTACACACGCCACCTATGTGTGATGTCAGCCCCCAAAAGGTAACAGGAAAAGTTCAGAATGAAAAAAAAAAAACCCTCAAAAGGCTAAGTGTAGCAGAGTAATACAGAAATATATACACAGGCCATGGCCCCCAGGAGTTCTCTCGTCACTCAGGGGCAGGGCACTGCAGGGTCCCTGTGGTACAGAGTGAAGGGCCTCAGTACACAGAGCTGTTCCGGATGCCACAGCACAGCACCATGCTCAGAATCATCTCGAAGATCTGCGGGAGAGAGGGGCATTGTCAGCACCTAGGTCCTTGCTTGGGAGGGGTGGCACTCACCCACCAAACAGGCCCTGTGCTCACCATGATGACGGCTACCACGATGGCCGCAATACCAATGAGGTACAGCTTCCCAGAAAAGAGCTCATCAATTTTCTGATGGCAGTCCTCCTGCAGGGATGGCCAGAGGGTGGTAACAGTGAGTGGCTAAGTCACAGCCACAACCATGCTCAGAGGTAGGGTTTATGTCCCATAGGTTATCTTCCATCCAAAATAAAACACATGGACCTGCTGGCCTTCTTTATTACAGGGTAGTGTTTCTGACCTCACTAGTACCCTAGGCTCACCAGTATGTATAAGGGACCACTCAAGAGAGCCATTTCCCAAGATACTGCAGGGGCAAACCCAGGCTCTCAGGACCTAGCACCCCACTCGCTGAGATGTTCTGTGAGCCTCTCTGATGTCCTGCTTGAAGGGTGAATGTGGTTGGCCACATTCACCACCTACCTACCACCCAGGATATGATGCCCACTCCCACTCCATGTCACCTTCAATACGGAGTTGAATACGTTGGTGCCTGCGGGACACAGGCTATTCCTTATCATAGAGGTGGTCAGCGCGGTCAGTGCGTTGGAGCCACAGCAGTTGAGCTGCAGAGACCAAGAGTATCACTGTCAGCTTAGGAGCTTCAGGAGACAAGGGAAAGGTCTGGCACATCATCACCCCCAAAACATCTGGGAGCTGGCCTGCCCTATTTGTCACACTGCTCAAGAACCCTGTTCCTCCAAAGCCTTGGGCAAATGAGGCCCATTAGGTTCCTACAAATCAGAGGAGAACCTTAGCCAGGCCCTGTCCTGTTTCTGAGGTCTGGGAAAAGACAGGACTCATCTACATAGATCATACATGCTAGGACCCCCATAACCTGCCCTCCCTGCTCCAGCCTAGTTGTACCGTCTCGTGGAAGGTCTTCACTACAGTCTTGGCATTGTTGGCTTCATCATCCACCATAGCCTGTTGAAGGGCCTGGTCGTAGAACTGCTTCACATCCTTGGCGATCTGGGGAGAACCATAGTCACATGAAACACAGGGACTACCATCAAGAGCACTCGGCTTCCCCCGATGCCATCTCTTCTGTTGAGCTCCCAAGACCCTTCTACCAGCAAGCACCAGAAATTTGAAAAGCACCTCTAACCCATGGCTCAGAGCAGGCCACACCTGCTGCCTGAGCAAAGGCATATCTCCCTCTCCAGTGAACCTAGGCTCACCTGGTCTTTGTTTACGAAGCCCCAGATGCCAGCAGCCACCTCACAGGCAAACAGGATCACAAGGCAGGTGAAGAACTAGGGGGAAAGTAGAGGTCAGAGCTTTGACCAGCAATCTCAGTATGGCCCTCTATGGGTGCCCACATGACCAACAACTATGTGCCAAGGGGGATGACCATATTCACCAACCATGTCCTGATTAATGAACCACACAGAACCATGAAAGACAAAGGATGCAGCTTAGCACCCAGATGCCTAAGTTCTCATGGTTTCACCCTGCTCCCTGCTTTGCAGGATGCAGCTGGTATAGGAGATGCAGTTGACAAATCTAAGTGTCCACAGCCTTCAGAGACACACATGCAGCAATATGCCCCCCAACCTTGACCTCAGTTTCCTTACCCCCTTTATCGTACATACACAGGAAGATTAAACTAGGAAGTGTGCTTCATCTTCCCAAGATTTTGATACTGGCTGGCCAAGCTCTAGAAGACATACCTGGGACTCAGCTCCACCAGTAGCTACTGTGGCCAGGACCACTAAGGCTGGCTTCTGGGGTAAGACACCCCTCTGGAGGTTACACTTTTCTAAAGAGAAACTCCCTCTGTCAATGAGTCTTCAGAGTCAGACTCAACAGAAATCAAAGAGAAAGACCAAAACCTTGGGGAAGACAGGTTGCCAGAAACCCTACTCTCCAGCCCTGCAGCCCTTCCTACTTACCGTTCCCAGCAGGCATTGGGACTCCTGGATGGCCCCATAGCACCCCAGGAAGCCCACAAACATCATCACAGCTCCCACAGCAATGAGAATGTAGATGCCTGGGGAGGGGGAAGAACTGAGTGAGCAGGCTGCATGCATCACTGTCTGAGACGGAGCGTCTAGGGCACCCACACCCACAACAGGCAGAGTTTGGCAATGTGAGATTTTTGTGCGTCAGTGTCCTGCTAGAGGAAATGCCACTGCCACCAGAGGATAAAAAGCAATTCAGTGTCCAGAGGACACAGGTGATCTGTACTTCACAGGTATGTGCTGCCTTGTAGCCAGTCCCCCACTACTTGCACCCGAGAATAGGAACCCTTAGCACTCACTATAGAGGGCTGAGATGGACTACCCATCTTAGTGTATGAAATGGGGAAGCAGCTTGGGTTCAGCTGTTGGTCTGGGAGTGGATGCCCAGGACTCCCCGTGCTGGGTGAGTGTGAAGGCAAGGGCAGGCTATGCCAGTAGTCAAGTCCAGGCACCTCATCTCAGGCACACCAGTGTATAACCGTTCTGTTCACCTAACTCTAAGGACAGGAACCTGTGGGCGGGGCAGCTGGATGACTGACAGAAGGACAGGGGCAGCCTGAGCAGAGCACTTAGCACCTGTCACACATACTGGCTGGGCTGTGAATACAGGGGAGCACTGGGACCCAAGGTGCACCAGTTGGGCCATCTCCCTGTTTCAGTGCTCACAGTACCCCTCAGGCCCTGGGAAAGACCACTGTGTCTCTGAAGAACCCTCCAGCTCTTGGTCCCTCAGCAGACACAGCCCATCCCCCAGTCTCCACGGCAACACTGCCAGGCAGTCCAAGCTTCCTTGCACAAAGCCAGGCCCATTGTCCCCTGCCTGGCCAGCCCAGGGGTGAAGGCGCCATGGCCAGGACCTACTGCCAGGCTTAAAAACAGGCCAGAGCATGGGCCTGGTTTCCTTTGACCTCACTAAACACATCTGGTCCAGGGAAAGTCTCCCACCAGGGCTGCCTAGCAACTGGTTTCCAGACTGGCAGAGCAACTTCATCCGGACCACCGTCCTTAGGCCCTGAAACCTCATCTCAAGATGAAGTAAGCTCTCTGTCACTATATCAGGCCCAGCAGGGGGATGGACAGGGTACCTAACACACAGGTGCTGTCCTGAGACTGCCTACAGACCCTTCTAGGTCCAGCACATGCCCCATCTGAAGGTCCTGGGGTACAGTCTGAAGTGCTCAACTGTATATTCACAGCCCAGCCAGTATGTGTGACAGGTGCTAAGTGCTCTGCTCAGGCTGCCCCTGTCCTTCTGTCAGTCATCCAGCTGCCCCGCCCACATGTTCTTGTCCTTAGAGTTAGGTGAGCAGAATGGTTATACACCGTGTGCCTGAGATGAAGTGCCTGGAGTTGGCTACTGGCATAAGCCTGCCCTTGCCTTCACCCCCAGACCAACAGCTAAGCAAGCCCCTGAACCAACTCTCCTAAGCACTAGACAAAGTGCCTTTGTCAGGGCCACATCTGCTCCCAGCAGGGCTCAGTTCAGGGGAAGCAGAGGGCTCCAGAAAG